ATGAATGAATGTTTCACCAGGCCAGCTTTTGTACCAAGTATAATTCTTCTGTGGCCACTGTTTGAAAATGAAAACTTAACAGCTCTATTACTGCTCTGTTACAGATGGGAAATAAAGGCAGAGAGGAATTAAGCTACTCTCCACTGTCAGAACACAGGCTGGGAACAGAGCTAGTAACTGAATGCAAAATTCCCAAGTCCCACTTCATTATTTATACTGTAATACTATTCTTATTACTGATTTTAATAGCTATTGCTTTTTCTGATCTCAGCTCTTATTTGATAATCCAAGAAAAAAAAGCTTCAAAAACCACACGCTATATCCTTCTTACATATCTGCTTCCTGAGAAATCTCTGCAGTAAGGGGGCAATTCTAGCAGTTATTAAACCAAGTCTCCAACGTCACTCAATATTTTTCAAAATTCTCAAATCAAAGGCCAACACGCTTCTGTGCATCTCCAAAGCAGCCCTGCAAAGCCTTTATTCCTGCTCTGGGTGGCACCAGCTCAGCAGCTCCTCCCCAGGACTCAGAACGGCGATGAAAGGAAGCTTTGCTTTCCCACATTGTCACATCGGGCAAGCCCCACTTCCCCTTGACACACCATTTCATCCATGACACATGCAAAAAGAAAGAGGTATAAACTGCCACTCTAACTCTGGAACTCAGTGAGTAACTGAAGGAGAGACAATTTGTTTCTTGTTCCTCACTGTCAGTGACATGTCCCACAGCCCCCAGCTCCACAAGCGAACACGCAGAGCCAGAACAAGCCACGGGCGCTGCTGGTAACGTTATGCCAGAGCTCTAGGCTCTACGTACGCTCTAGGCTCAGCTTACGCTGAGGTTCTAGGGCAATATCTCTCGGAAGATACAGCTGTATCTGGCAGATCAAGCTGCACTGGGCAGCTGGAGATGTTCTGCACCTTCCAGATGGTTGTGTCACCTCTGCATGCAGGAGAGAGAGAAGAAACCAAAGAGGCCTCACCCCTTCACTAAGAGCCACTCAGGGCCATATGAATTAGCTCAAACCACCTTCACCAGTAGCATGGCGAGGACAGAGAGTTGGGGAGAAATCAGTAGCTTCAGGCTCCCCGACAGCCCCGCAGAGCTCCTGATTGTACCCGCTCCTGCCGCTCGGCACACACAGCACTGGGAGCAGGGCTGAACCTGTGGCAGCGCACACTGCACGTCGCTGCGACACTTTAACACATTTTTTCCAGAAAAATAATTATTAGATATTATTAAGAACTATGTACATACTTTGCAAACGTCTTTCCCTCCCTTTTCTCAGTGCAGCATTTTTTTTTTCAAATGTGTTTTTTTTTAAAAAGTCCACAATATATCAGTACCTGAAGAGATTCCTACAGGGAGACCCAGTTGGGAGGGCATCAGAGACGGGCAGAAGTGCTGGCAAGCAGTGTTAAAGTCTCTATCTCAATGACAAGAGGAGGCAGCCCCGACTTTCCTGCACACACATGCAGCCACTCACACTCCTCCCAAGACCTGGCTTTGTTCCCAGCTCCTAGACCTACCCTTTTCCCACTTCAAGCTCAGTTTCTGCTTCTCAGAGTCAGGGGATTCAGCCTTATTTATGCTGATGTTGATATTTATGCTCTGATGGTTGTTTTGCACAAACCATTAAATGGTTTTTTGGGAGTTAAGACTTCTTTCCTCAGAGTGGGGTGTTTTTGTTCATTAACAACCGACTCTTGCCCCAGGCAACAAACACCAAATCTCAGGGAGATTTTTCAGGTCATTTTTCCAAGACCAGGCACGTTCTTACCCACTCCTGCTGACTGTGGAAACACCCAAAACCCCATTCCAATTTGCACTTTATTTTTTTTTTTCCATCCCATCTCTGGACTACAAATCATAGAAATACGGGTAGAAAGAGACCTCTAATTTGAAGCCCTGAAATAGGGTCAGTTCTGTGGGAAGACACAAGCAACAAAATGCAGGATGGAGCTGTAAGAGTCCAGGTTTCCTTCCACGAGGACAGGAAACACTAACTTTATCAACATAGTCTGTGAATAATGAGGGGTGCAGAGGGGACTCTGCACAGGGGACTGTCCCACTGCCTCATCATCCTTTTTTAAGGAGAAAAATCAAAATACAAGGAGAAGTATCCCTGAGTATAAGCTGGAGGAAAAGGCACAGCAAGGCCCTTTGCTCCTAGAATAACAGCTGAATCTCGCTTGCTGCTGCTGCTGCTGCTTAGCCTAAACACCTGTACTGTGAGAGAAGAGCCAAAGTGCAACCCTTTGAGCAGACCAAGACTGCACACGCTCATTCTGGTGGCTACTGCCTTCCTTGTGCCCAAATCTCACACAAAACCAGAGCAACTTCCAGCAAGAAAAAAAGGCAACTGTAAAAAAAAAATCGATTTTTAGAAAGAATGTAGCCTGATGCCATTTTCCTTATACGGCAAATGGCATCCCTTGTGGAGTCTCAAACAATAGCCAGCCTGGCAGGGGTGCAGTAAGACCACGACTTGGGGGGGAAAAAAATTATGTATATGTATTCCCTGCTGGCCTTCACCCTCCATTTCCTCTTGGTTTTCTTTGTGATTGCACTGAAAGGGGTCAATAGCTCCCAGCTTGAGAAATGCAGCTTTTGAAAGGACTATCACCAGCATCTGTATTTAAAGCGTGCCTTTTATTTCCCGGCACCCCGGCCAATAGTGCTTTTAAAAAAGCCAGCAGCAAGATGAACTTTCAGGGGAGGGAAAACGGGAAGAGTGCAGACGAAGCCCTACCTTCCTGCCTTCCGTTTACTGCCACTGCCTCTGCAATAAAGCCCGCCAGGCAAAGCGAAGAAGGGCAACACGAGCTGCAAATCATCTAAGCTCTACAGATCATTACCCCTTGCTTCAGTCACCAATTCCCCATCCTTTAAAGGATGCTAAAACCCCATGTGAACCAGCAAAGCAGCAAGCCAGAAAAGAATTTCAACTGATAAAAAACAATGGGTAAATTAGCACTAGATTCATCTAGCACATCAAAGCTTTGCAACTTCATCTTCAGGGGTTAGGAAATATTCATCTGATAAACGCAGGCAATCTAGACAAATTTTAATGGTTTAATTAACTTACCTTGATAATGAAACACAGAACTAGGGGCTAAGTTCATATTTAGGTTTTCTATTTGAGGATATATTCCAGAAGAGCTACAGCACATTAGAGTCAAGGATTTATTTGCAAAATTCACTGCCTATGCTGAAGGTGGCACTTGAGCAGTTGTTCAGGCCCAACCTGCCCCTGCCTCATTCTGCAGCTTCACCTAGACATCCAACAGCAATTGTTCTGCAGTAGTTTCCTGTAATAGGACTTTTTAAATTCATATTTGGAAATGGATGAATTCAAGTGCTCGTAGAATCAGAGTTTGTAAAATCAGCTGTTGCAATAGTCTTCACGTATAAAAAAGTTCATCTTTAGGAGCTCAATGACAGTTTTCACTACTAAAACTTCCCCAGATTTATGGAGCAATATGAATGAAATGTCACAATGAAATTCAGCTCTATCATTTGCTTTTCCTGCACAAAGGGAGAAGAGGAGAATAATCAGGAATAGAAAACTGAACACAAGCAGTAATCATCAGTCTGCTACAACTGACATAATAAGGCAAGGAACTAAATGGGACGCAGCACCAGAGAAAACTGTTTCACTGGTCAGCAAGAATAGAGGAGAGAGGTCAGGTCAGATCTGCAAACACAGACTAGGTAAGATCAGTTATGATTCTCCAGCTCCTATCTGACTTGACATTCATCTAGTTATTTAATTAGAGCTTTTCAGTAAGCATCAACAGAAGCCCAAAACATTAATCTGAAAGTCCTCAAATCCACAAATGGAGAGGCGCAGTGGCACCTCCAGCCACACATATGAGCAAAAAGCTAGCTCATACAGTTCCCACCAGCTTGTCTGTGAGAGAAGCCAAAAAAGAGGCCAGGGCATATTCCTTAAACAAAGAATTGCCTCAAGAGAGTTTCTAGCAAAAGCAGTATACAACTTTGCATTCTGCTTTAGTTTTCAATCATACCATCTTTCTCACAGGCATTCAAAAACATTAGTCCATGCCTTATCAGATCCTGAATGAAGACTGCAAAAAAGCTCCTGTGAGTCTGAGGACCTGCAGTTCAGAGACGTTTATGGGTCTGTAATCAGTACTGACAGATAAGTTACACTCACGCATACTTGCTTGCAACTGAGGTCTGGTTTAACACAGTACAGCCCTAAGCTTTCATAATACAGCATAGGAAACAAAATCTGCCCGTCGCCTTCTACTAATTGCATCTGCAGTGGTCAGGGGTTGAAAGAGGAGCAAGCAGATTAATTCTATTAGGCTGTGGAATAGTATCCCTAGGGGATGATGGAAAATCCCATCATTTAAAACAGGATTGGTACACACTGCAGGGAACAATGTTACATACTAGTAGGGGATTAAGGGTTTGTACTAAGGGCCTCATCTCTTCTAGATCTGGTTTCCATGAGTCATTGCAATTAGAACTACAAGGCTTTTTTCTGTTTGTTTTTGTTCACTTTTGGTCGCCCTGAAAGATCTTGTCCAGTCAAACCCTGAACGCTTCTTTCATTTCCTAGTTAACCCCTTTCCTCATTAAATATATCTGTTTCTTCTTTTTATTAATAACCTTTCTCTTAAAATGAAGACAAATTCCAAAATGAAATAACGTCGGAAAACGATACTTAAGTATTTCTTATCTAATTTTTTTCTTTCTTTTTTTCATCATATCCCCCACGCAATTTCCCTACATTTGATTCAACTGTACAAGCAGTCTTGATCTTCTGAAAGTATGTTTTCACTGCAAAAACTTCCTGTGCCGTAAACACAACGTAAGGTGTCATCCCTATACATAGGACAGGCAGAGGTGACAAAGCCTCTCGAGGCAAACGGGAGAAATACTCTGCTCAAAGCCCTGGAGCAAGACACAGCCAGTACACAGCCTGGTATCGGCAGAGCCTGGAGCATTAGCTGTGCTGTGTGCCTCACCTGTATGTCACTTGGAGGGACCAGGCCTTCAGGGGAATACTTGTTCTCCTCCAGAAGTCAGGATGTACAAAACAGGCTTCAGTCGGGTCCTTGGTTGTGGCTGCTGTCACAGTGATCCAGTCTGGTCAACCTATCGTAAAAGACAAGGACAAACATGTAAGACGAAACGTGCTAATATGCATCCCTGAACACTGGGCCTGAGAAACTTGTGATCTTGCTTTAATCATTTCTGCTTGCCCAGGTGAAGACCAACCACACACCTGAATGAGGCCAGAGCAGCAGCTGGCAGAAGCCCTGCAGACTCCAGCAAGGCCTGGACTGAAGGCAACATCTTCCTCTTCCTTCTCCGGTCTATGGAAACTGGTCATAAACAGAAAAAGTTTTTTGGTCCCAGGCAGAGGCAGGAACAGAAAGGACTGCTATATTATATCAGATTGTGAAACTGGGATTACTGGGGCCTGCTATCCTCTGGGAAAATGCAGTGGGAGAAGGCCAGAAACACACTGGGAGCTTTGGAGGATTGATAAGGAGCTCCTTTCTAGCCACAGTACAACTTGAATTGTTAATGTCAGGTGTCAAAAAGTCCAGAGGGAGGGAGGCTGTGCAGGAAATGAAAGATGAACCCCTAAAATAAATGAATCACTTAGGCACTAGTTACAGAACAGAAAGAGGAAGGCTTTGAGAGGACAGCCTAAGGAAAACAGGAGAGGGAAGGAACACTAGAAGGAGATGCTTTGTTCCTCAAAGCAGACCTCAAAGTTCCAGACCAGAAAAGGATGAAAAAGTGGATAAAAAAAATCAAAGGTTTTAAAACACATAAGCACACATATTCTGTATTGCATGCAGCAAATACGCACACATGTCCATGTACTGTGTAAGTGTTGGAGTGTGTTTGCATGCTGAGTGAAGGGAGCAAACAAGGTTGAGGATGGAAATCAAGGCAAGGTGATGGAGCTGAGGTGCAACAAACATACCAATATAAGCAAGGAGCAAAATTGGAGAAGCTCAAGCGGTGGAAGCATTGAGCATGCAAAAGGACATAAAATAGTGCCTGGAGAAAGGCAGGAATGGCCAGTGGGAAGGGAGGATGGCTTATGGCAGGTCTGGTCAGCTTCTCCCTTGCAGAAGAAAGGCAGAGCCTGAGCAGAGAGAGAGGAGGGGCAGCACCAAGTCTGGATCTCATTCCCTCTGACAGCTCCAATTCAGATACAAAGCTGGCGCCACACAAATCTGTTTCACAGCATTGCTCCTCTGCTCCTTACGAGTTTACCTTGCTTCTTTGCTCTCCCTTTAATAAATAACTGAAAACCTCCCCCACGTGCAGCCCCTCCAGCATCCTGCATCCAAAGTCAACTGTCCACACGCACATCTGGAGCATCACTCCCTGTTCTACATCATGGAGCTGAATTAGCTCCTCCAGGAGTCAAAAGGAAAAGCTGGTGGACAAGGGCCTTTCAGCAGCTCCATGTCCTGTAAGACACTGAGTCTTGGTGGCAGCCCAACGCCCCCAACCTCACTTCCCTTCCCTGCTTTCCAGGGGAGCCAGCCCTACTCAGCTGGGCTCTCCAGCAGGAATTGTCTCCACTCACGGGCTGCCACAAACTCGCATCAGCCCTTGCTCCTTGCCTGTGAACTCAGCAGCAAGCCCAGTCAAAGCCTTCAGGGGTGCAGCACTGCACAGTAATTCCCAGGTTTTGGTGGGTGAGAGCGGGATATCTGCACAGGAGGGTGCACAAAGTGCTGTCAATCATCAACATTTTGACTCAATTACATTTTTAGCAGTAATTTTCCTTTTCCATTACAGAAGAGTGCTGCCCCGGTAAGCAGAACGATCCGTTCCCTGTTATCATTTCAGCTGACGTGCCATTCTAGTCAGTAGCAGAGAGCTCTAATATATTTAGTGTCGCTAATATATTTTGCCTGGCATGCGTATGTGCTCAGACAAGAGATTTCGATCACGTGTATTCAAGGAACATTAAGAAACAGCAGATATCTTAGGTCATCTAAATCCTGCTCCCCAGTGGAGGATCATGTCTTTCCCTCTCCTCCACTCCGCTTAGTTTACGTCGAAGCCAATTCAGACTGTCTCAAGCACCAGGAATATCTTTTCTCCCAGCAGACCTCAGAAGAGCCTGGCACAGAGCTGCCTTCTGGAACTGACACCTGAATAAACAACCTTTTTTTTTTTTTTTTTTTTTAAATTAACACAATTCCCTTATATCTGACTAGAAAAAAAGAAACAGCAAGTGATAAGGAAAATACAAAACAGGGAGCTTCTCCAAGACTAACAGAGTGGGATATGGCAGTGCCAAGGGGCCCAACCATGGAGAGAAAGGATTAGCTTTCTCCTCTCTTCATTGCTCACTCCTTTAGCCCTCACAGGTACATTTTCAAGAGAATAGGAGACTCTGTGGACCATAGAATCATAGAATCATAGAATGCCGAAGGTTGGAAGGGACCTCAGAGGTCATCGAGTCCAAACCCCCTGCTCACGCAGGGTCACCTAGAGCACGTGGCACAGGGCTGCATCCAAGCGGGTTTTAAAGATCTCCAAAGAAGGAGACTCCACAAGCTCTCTGGGCAGCCTGTTCCAGTGCTTTGTCACCCGCACAGTGAAGAAATGCTTCCTTAAGTTCCTGTGGAACTTCCGATGCTTCAGTTTGAAGCCATTTCCTCTAGTCCTATCCCTGCCCACCCCTGAAAAGAGGCCGCCCCCCTCCTCCTCACTGCCTCCCTTGAGGTATTTATACACGCTGATCAGGTCCCCCCTCAGCCTCCTCTTCTCCAGGCTAATGTGTCAACTGAGCTCAATACATTTTTTATATGAAAACAAACCAAACAAAACCTTACTGCAGAAATTCTCCTGATTAGTTATCCTAGTTTTATATTCTCTATAATTGCTACTGGCTACTGTTGGAAATAAGGCCTTGATTTAGAGAAGATCTGACCCAGCATAGCAGTTCTGGGGTGTCTATAACACTGCTTTAACATAAATATAGGCATTAACCTCCGTGGCTCCTGTGGCTCTATGTAGATTTTAGGAATACAATGCTCATCTGAAATAAGGGTTTACTTTCTTTTAGTATTATTCCGAGCAAAGCTTTCTCCCCACTTCAGTATTTGTTCACTGCGGGGCACCAATGGTGGCATTTTTTTTTTTGCAAAAAAACTTCTTTTTTTGCCATCCCTGCCTACTTCTCCAACCACACACATGCCTGTGCAAAGCCACTTCACCAAGCGTAAGGAACAAAAACCTGCACTACAGACTGACACCGAGATGGGGAGGAACACGGACGTGTCCCCGTTTAACATTTCATAAATCACAAGCAACACCAAAACAGATGTAGAACAAGCCAAATCCTCCTTACGTTTTATGCTTAGCATAAGACAAATCTTTCTAGATGAAATACAACAGAAAAGGAGCTGCGGAGCTGGCATTAACTTGACAGGTGCTGAGCTGGGCCGGGCACAGAGGAGCGTGGCAGCTGAAGGAGCGCACGTTGGAGAGGCATCTGCTTCCTGCTCCATGTGTGTGTTGATCCGCCCAGACAAACAGCCCGCCGGCACGGGGCAGGCTGCAGAGGTGCTGCCGCTGGCATCACTAGCCCTCGGCTCGCAGCTGGGCCCTTCGGCCACATCCCAGCTCCCGCGGCAAAAGGCGGGAGCTGGGAGGGAAGGAGGGTGCCCTCACACGCATGGAGAAGGCTCCTGGCCAGCAGTTCCCCACCAGCACGCAAAGCAAAGCCTCCACGCTGCCCCCAGGGCTCGCGCTGCAGCTTCTGGGGCCTCCACGCCTTCGATACCGACATGAGAAGATTCCCTCCAAAGCAAGGCGAGTACAGCTCCTCGTGCATAAAAAGAGATCTTCCCTAACAAGAAAGAAAATTAATTAAGTGGGTAAAATCCCACAGGTTGGAACAGCAGCTGAGGAATTATCTTTCTATCAGGTTGGTAATGAGGAATGAAAAAGCCTCACACAGACTTTAACAGCTTCATATGGGCTCATTGGCATTCCAGATGAGATGTGAGGCTTGGCATTCCCAGGAGCACCAGATGCAGCTCCAGTTACAGGGCAGACCTTGGGCAAACCACAGCTTGCCCTGCTGAAAACAATACTCACAAGATGCCCGAAAATGAAAGGTACGTACCCATCTAGCAGAATAGCTCTTTCCCACAGAAATTATGCCTGAGGAGACTGCAGGTCATAACGCCCAGTGCCCCAGGTGGATATGGCACAGCTCTGAGACCCGTGGGAAGAAGTGTCTGCAGGGGATCTTTACTCCACGTTCAACAGCCAGCCAAGTGGAGGCATACATGATCAGACACTGACAAATACCCTTCCTTTACTCTACTGACTTCTCCACCAACACTACCAGCTGTTTGCTGTTACTACTAACAGGTACTGCTCAGTTATACCAAAATAACGCAGGCTATTTCCTAACCCACTCAATGGCAAGACAACATGATTTGGGTTCAAAGACAAGTTCACAAATAGCGAAACACTGACCGCCTTCCAAAAAGGTGCTCACAGACATCCTCCTCTCTTCTTGTCACTATCTGTACCACCACTGTCCCACGAGGCATGGAGCTTTTTACCATGCGCAGCATGAAAGGGCTCACGGCCCACAGAGCTGGCTGCCTAAACTGACATAAAGCAGGAAAAAGGAAATGCTAGTATTTCCCTTGTCACAGATGGGAAAGAGAAATCCAAAGAGATATTGGAAAAATCAGGTGGAAAATCCATATCAGAACTGGGAAGTGAATGGCTTCAGGCTGAAACCTATTTCATTGGTTTGGAGATGGTCACTTCCTCCGTTTTCATTCTCATCTCTTTCCCTGAAAGCTGTTTCCTTTTCAGCTTACAAAGCTCATCCTCAAAAGGCAAGTCCACAGCCAATTGTGGTTTCCATGGTCAAATAAAGCAGTGGCCAGAAGATTGCTTCTCTCCAAGATGGCTCTGGATTTCCTCCTGTAGGATATAACTAACTTTTGCTTAAAGTTAGCTCCAGGAGCTGACCTGAAACTCCACATAGAGCCAACGGCCATCACAGAAACCTTCACCAGGGATCCAAGAACTACACTTGTCACCTGCGTACTTGACTACACTATTTGGGGCCAGAAGGGACATGC